TAATTCATTATTTAAAAGATCACGTAACAGCATTTTGGCTTCTATCGAGAATCCAAAGTAGAAACAGGAATACAGATTAGTTAAATGTTATTACCATTTCAGAAGCCATCATTCACCACTGAATTTGTTAATCAATAAAAAAAATCTTTATTTTAGGCACAGATTTCACACATAACACATTTTAGCCCACAATAGTTGATTTTAAAAAATTATTTAATTCTGCTATTTTAATTCATGAGGATGTCGAACATTCAATCAATGATTCTCATGAAGACGCAGTAGATTCTGTGCTTCTCAGACAGAAGCATTTGTTTGGAGTAGGGATCCACCTGCCACACATGTGCTTCTCTTCCACAATGCTTCTCAATGAGAAGCATTGGATTGGACGAGAAGTTGGAAGACATTGGCCTGCTTGCTGACAAGAAAAGAGACGAAGCAGTGCCGGAGAAAGGGTAAGTAAATGGTTATTTAGCTTTACATTTTAAAAAAAAAACTAGAAAATATATTTGTACGGTATGTATTTCCTTTAAACATCCACGTGTTGGGATCACAATTCGGCCAAAGAGAGGCTATTGGCTTTTGTTGAAAAATAAAGTTTGTTTTTCTAACAAATGTTAGCACATAAACAGAATGAACAACACCAAAAGCTCCTGTCACTCGATGGCATGTAAAAGCCGTGTTTATTTATGGTCCCTCGTTAGTGGAATTTTAAAAATATTTTTTAATTAAAAAAATGGCAACTAAATCATGGTTTTAGGCCTTTTTTTGCAGCAATAACATTTTCTGACTTTGATAGAGTTACCGGTAAATAAGGTTTGTGAATTTTAGATTGTGATCACAGTTCTGCGATATTGGCCAAAAGTCAAAAAACATTATCATTCGCTTGCAAACTCCAAATAGAAAGTAAGGAAAGTAAGAAAGTAAGAAAATTCTACTGTTTCTATGAAAGGATAATTGGATGTAAAGTGACGTACATAAATGTATCCAAGTGCCCGTCCTTTCAACAGTCCAGAAAATAAGAATAAAATCTTATAAGGGTTCCGTGCTTGAGATTGGCATTTCTCTCTTGACAGAATAAGCTGAGGCACTGTATCTCATTCCTATATACAAAATGGATATTTTGCAGTTTGTTCAACAGGAGATGTACAGAGCAGTAGGCTGTCATTCAACGGCTTGATGTTTATATTGGATCCAATTTATCAGAAGACATAAAGCAAGAAAGATAGAGCTGCATTACAGAAATGCCGGACACATGCTAAATATGTTGGCAAAGGATTAGATTAACTCCTTACATTTGGTCCTTAAAGCGGCAATGCCACAACCCTCCCACCGCCCTCACCTGAAAAATTAGAAATTCCAATGCAGTCAAGAGATATACAGAGACAAAGGAATAACTATTTTGTCTATATATATTTCTTCCGCCTGACTTTCTTAGATTCTGTGCGAGATTACAATTGCAAGTGACATCAGCTCCTGGCGCTTCAGCTCAAGTGGCACTGCCAGAACAAGATGGCCATGCCTGTGAGGGACAGGTTCAGGTAAGTAAATCTCACCTTTACCTGCCACCTCCCCGGCCACCGGACCCCCAGCGGCGATGTCATCACCGATGTCTTTGCGAATTCGGCACTAAAATTGTACTGCTCATTTGGCATCATAAGCTTCATAGTAAATGAGTAAGACTTTTTGCTTATACATAGATACCTGATTACAGATAATACTGTACATTGTTTATACATATTGTTTATAGTGTTAATACATAAAGACCTAAATACTTTGTGTGCTGTTTATACACAGAGCCGAAATACAAGACATGCTGCTTACCCAGAGACACCCGAATACAAATCTGTTTTTACACAGAGATCTAATTTGTACAACGAGCAATTACAAAGAAATATGGTAATGAGGGAAATGAAGACAATCTAAATGCTAATATAATTATGGACATCCCCTGTACAGCTCTGTATCCTAATACAAAGTAAAGATTATTTGCAATGGTCAGAAGAAATGAGCCATTAATCCATCAAATGTGAGTGTTTAAACAAAGTTACCCGGCATCGCAGAATCAGATAACGTGCTGCTTGCTTGTTGCTCTGGTCTAATACAATTGGATGCCTTCCACCACACGCTCCATGATCATTCCTTATATCGGAGCAACAATGTCTCAGCTCTGAGCTCTCTGGGACACCATTAAACCTAATGGTCTAGATCTGTGGTTCCCAAACCAGCCCTCGTGGAACCCCTACCAGTCCAGGATTTAGGGATCACTCTGTTGTGTCCAAGGTTTTTTTTTCTTTTTTTTCTAAAAATACCTTAGATACAACTTGGAGATCCCTGAATCCTGGACTGGTAGGGGTTCCACGAAGACTGGGTTGGAAACCACTGGTCTAGATGCAGGGTTAGAAAATCTGAGGCACTTCATGGCTGAAAGAGTGTTAGCCCACTACTCACAGCTAAGCATTGCTGTCCTGGTTGGAAAAAAATTGGCATTAATAATGCGAAAGTGTTAATTCCACAATGGTGCTGAGAAGGGGACAGGTTTGGGGTGCCAGAACTAGACCCAATTTGTGTCAAACTGTTTGGGGGAGTTTGACATTAAAACAGGGGACAACACCAGCGCTCCCTAGGTATTTTGGTTATGTCCCTTAGAGGGCCCCTTTAATAAAAACATTTCACCACCATTTGCTGACAGGGGTCCCATGAATCCATAGTGTGCCACAAAAAAGCTGTTTACATGATAACGCCTTGTTTCTCTAAAAGTAATTCAAGGTTAAATGCATCAAGCCAACTTAATTTTAAAACCAAACAATATTTCAGCTTCCATCTATAGAACAGCAAATTTTGTTACTTATTTATATGGATATTGAACTCTAGAATAGATGTTTTTCCCTTCAACCATTTATATTGATTACTGTACACCTTTGCCATGGATTATAGTATCAGTCTTCATTCCAGGGGACCTCTAGCTGTCCGATCATAAACTATTTGTGGAGCCATTTCTGGAATTGCAAGTCTACCTCTAACACAGAGCTCTTATTTCTATTGACTTTGTCTCATGCCTTTGACCCCATATAGATTATATAGGGTTTCACATTGATCTTGGGCTAATAGAATTTTGTCAGCTTGCAGCAGCCAGTCAATCTAACTATATAGTTAGTCTAATCAATAAATTGCATACATGCTGTGATCAGCAAAAACAGGAGATTAGTACATAACTGGGCATTCCTATAACAATGCAGGCTGGATTCTCTTTTTTCTTTTTTTTTTTACATAAAACAATGTCCCCATAGACACATAGGGGGCTCAATTATTTGCTGAAGACATATGGGGGTTTATGCAGTCAATTGTGACCTGTAGATAATTGAGGAGGACATTTGTAGCCAAAATAGTAATTTTTGAAATATATCCTACAACTACGTTATTTTTCTTGTTCAGCCCAAATTTGGCAAATCCGTTCAATTTTTAGTATGGTGAACAACCCCCCACCGCAGCTGTAGACAGCTTAAGAATTGTTATAGATAATCTAAAATCAAGAGCGGTGCACTTACCAAATGCATTTGAGGTGTAATAACTTCATTCAACATCTATAATTTGTGTATTTAGCAAATTAAACAGTAGGTGGAGCTGTAGCAACGTGTACATTTTCTATAATAGAAGGAAGTACAGTCTGTCTATATGTCCTGTCCTCTCTATGAATCTCTGACTCTGTTTCAGCTTCCTGTTTTGTTTCTGATTTGATAGCTGTCTTTATTATTAATGTTTGGTGCTCTGAATTCATTGGAATCCTAGTAAAGTCCTTTTAGAATGGATAACTAGTGGGCGAATCTTCCCCATCAATTTCAAAGCCACATTCTTTATCACCCTCATTTTTTAAATTAATGAAGACAGACAGAGGTGCTATTCCATACTCCACGATCTAATGATGAGAGACATACATTTTAGTTATTTTAAATGCAGTTTTATTTTGTTCATTATAGTTATTTTAAATGCAGATGGTATAGTGCCTACGTACGCTATGGATGAATGTATTTGTGCTCTTCTGCTAAGGGGATTTGAATATATTTTGCAGACCATGGGTGTCTGACTCTGCCGATTAACTCAATAGAATCAAAAATAAGAATGTTAGTGCACAAAGCTTCTTATAAACACAAATGCTATAAATATGTATTAGGATGCCTAGCAGATCGGTTTGGGAATGCTGTAAGTGAATTATAAACAGAAGTCAAAAGTGTGCCGTAATTGCCATTAACACTTTAACACTAAGTTTTTAAATTGGTTAAAAAAATATATTGTGCATAGACTGTTGTTGAATGATATCTACGGAAATGATATAAGATTGTCTGCCAGGAAGACATAATACATTGAGAACCATCCCTCCTTCCCACACCCAGGCTGCTGGGTATAGAATATAGAGGAAGGACTACAGGGATTTTCCTTTATTTGCAAGTTGAGGACCAGAGTAGGACCAAAGGGGAAATTAAGTGTAACTTAAATGCTCCATTTTATAATCCATATACACAAAATGAAAGGCAACAGGTAAATAATGGTAGCTCTAACTTCATAAACCTCAAAATAACAAAAGTTTTTTTAGATATTACATAGTTACATAGCTGAAAAGAGCGTTGCGTCCATCAAGTTCAGCCTTTCTCACATTTCTTTTTGCTCTTAATCCAAAAGAAAAAAAAAACCCACTCTGAAACGCTTCCAATTTTGTAACAAACTAGGAAAAATTCATCTTGACCCCAGAATGGCAGTCAGATTTATCCATGGATCAAGAAACTATTACCTCGCTAATTAAAAAATATATAGTACGCCCAGTGACAAAATAAGCAGAGACGCAAAACTGGGGCCTACCAGTCACCGACGCCACGAGGTCTGGAGACGTTCCTCGATCCCTTCCTTGAGGTACACAGCCCAAGCAAGCTAGAACAGCGAGAACCAACAGCACTATCAGGAACCTCGAACTTGAGACGCTGGACACAAAAACCCGACAGATAGGGGCCATGCTCCAGAGGCCCACGCCAACTAAAACAACACAAATGGAGACCTCACACACGGAAGGGGCACCAATAATAGAGCCGCTACACGGGGACCGAGAGGCAGTAAATGAGCCTGACACTGAACCCTCCTTAAGCCTGCAACATGCTGACAGCTCGGCCCCGACCACCAAAGGGGACCTCAAAATCCTCCTCGCAGACCTACGCAAAATGATGGCAGCTGACCTAGTGCCCCTACGAACGGAGATCCAGGCTAATACTACACGCCTTAAAGTGATAGAAGAAGACATCATGGATGTCAGAACCACGGTGAATCACCTGAACGGTGAGATCCCGCAACTCCACACTTACTATTACAACCTGACCCAACCCTTGACTGTCCTTGAGGACCAACAGCGCCGTAGTGGCTGAGGAGCTGCCACACTACGTCAGAAGGCTGCTTACCTCCATCCTCTCTCCCCCAGTGGCCAAGAAAATTACCATGAACGGCATATTCCGGATCACAAGCATGGCTAAATCATCTTCAACAGAGTCGAGAGACGTCATAATTAAATTCACCTCAACGCTGGATGGCAGCATTACAGGGGAAAACCCCACTGACTTTTGAAGACTCCTCACTTAACTTCTTCAATGATCTATCCAGGGCAACATTGCAATGGCGCAGAACCCTGGGCCCAGTCTCTACCCATCTCCGATCCTCAGGTGTGACTTACCGCTGGGGAAACCAGGGCAGCCTACTAGCGAACCGCAACAGAGCTACATACATACTCCGGTCCCACATGGAAACACCAGCGTTTCTGGCAGCACTGGGCCTCTCCACACCCGATACCACACCAGCTACACAAGCTCCTACAGAGACGCTAAACCCTAATAATGCCATCACATTTGTGCAGAGGGCCGCAACAAGCACTGCCCCAGGGACTTGAACACTCGGAATAGAAATACTAAGGCCCCAAGAATCCAGGCGGCATGGCATAAAAACGCAAGGCAAAGGACCACACCTGTTAGCTTGTTTTTATTGTTTACATAATGTTTGATAATAATTGTCTTTTTATTTAACACTGTATTTAGCCAGACACTGCATGTTCCCCATATCCATCACCTCACAAAATGTCAACTACAGGTTCCTATGAGTAGCAAATGGGTCATAGCACACACCAACCAGACCAGACATGTCAGAGCACATGGAGAGAAAAGAACAAATAAGGGTGCGCCTAAGACAAGTAGAATATATAAAAAAAAATATATCAGAGAGTACGAGCAGCGATATCTAAAAAAGTCAGAATGTAAATAATCCACATATGCAGGAGGTAGTCCTAGTGGTACATAAAATGGTATGACCTCGTGTCCTATGTATAGCCCTGTTTATTAATAGATTTCCAGATAATGGTTTGTACTGACCCCGAATATATATTTACTTAATACCTGCCTGGAAGGAGAGAGCTGCAGCCTGGTCGGGTGGAAAAGGTCAGAAGAGACCTGAGTCAAGCTTCGGCGGGTGGGTCTGAAGCGTTCCAGGGTCCCCTGTGGCTGCGAGGAAGCGAACCTGGCGGAGGTACTCGGTCAGACTACAGGAGTTCCTTCACAGGTAATATGTTCTTTGAACATGTAATTTTTTGCAAACAGTATTTTATGATTGAATTTTATTTACTAGTTATAAGAGTAGTGCAAATATATTCGCTAATGTTTAGAGGTTAAAGCACAAATATAAAACAAAAATTAAGTGGAACAATTGAGTATTTTTTCTAACACCATTCAAATTTTACAATTATTTTTCTCAATTGTGTCTGGTTAGTACATGTCAGGCCTCTTGATACAGTGCTACAGAGTGCTTTATTTGCCTAAATAGGGATCCTTGAAAACAATATATATCACTCAGTCATTACAACTGAATACTCAGGAATGAATCTGGAGATTGTTTTTGTCTCTTTATTGCGTTCAGTTGCTGGAGTCATTTTTGTACAGTGAAAAGAGGTGATTGTCAAATTCTAGTCTGATTTCCATCACGTTCTTCATGGGTCTGCACCCAAGCCTAACCCCCGCAACCAGTGGATCTAGACAGTTAAACTAACAACAGTTTCCAATTTGCCATTAATAAAGAGGGCACAGTTTAATTTTTACCTTGACTACCAGCTGACAATATCACATAGAATTATTAAACAATGCTAAAAACATTTATAACGGTTTATGTATTATCAAAAAATAATGTTTATCCATTTAGTCCATTTACTCCGGTAGAGGCAATTTAGATATTGGGTCATACATACAAAAAAGTTAGAGTCAATGTATATTAGAATGCTGATAGGACTGGAACACGGATAGTGCGTAAAAATAGTTATTTATTGTCAAATAAGTAACAATTCCACCCAGTAAGGAACCGTTATCAGTCATTGATTAAGGCCCGTTAGTGGGCCAAAACATTGCTTATTTGTCAATTTGCCATTATAAACATTACCAACGTGCCAGCTATCATCTCCGTAATATTGAAGTGCAAACTGTGCGTGCAGATTATGAAGCACCAGAAGGATGTTTTTCATGTGGGCCGTGTGTTTTCATGTTTTGCTTATATATATATTTTTTATTGTATGCATTTAACCCCTTAAGGACACATGACATGTGTGACATGTCATGATTCCCTTTTATTCCAGAAGATTGGTCCTTAAGGGGTTAAAGAGGAACCTTACTTCTTAGGAATTTACACCATTGAATGAAATCATTTAAAAATCGACAATAACTTGTGTTAACCTTTCCAAGTGATCAGTGGTGTATTCTGGTTTTGTGCTTCCCTAGGCATAACAAAACTCTGGAACCTCCCCGTCTTTCCAAATTTCTCTTCCTGACAGACACAGCCCTCACCGATGCATGCACTGACATTCACTCACTTACAGATACACAGTAATTGTCACACACGGTTTAGCCAACACACACTTTCACTGAAACATACACATTCACAGACATACTCATTCACTCATTCAGTCACTGACAGACACATACACAGTCACTGACAGACACACATATACTCACTGACAGATACACACTGACAAAGACACATATACAACACTCACTGACAGACCTATACACTCAGTGTCAGACACACATTGACTGATAGACACACACTAACAGACATACACATTCACTGACAGACAAACATCCACATGCTAAAACACGCATACACATACTGACAGACACACACTCTCAGAGACAGATATACTAACAGACACACTAACACTCACTATGTCGTGAGTTTAGGTGAATGGGCTCGGGATGCAGAGATGAAGGTGAGCACAGTCACCGAATTAACTTTTATTTGTAATGTAAATGCAGGTTTCATATGCAGAAAATAAAGGAACAGTAAAGTAATTATTTCAAAAGTCCTTTTAAAGGGAAATCAGCAGCAAACGTGAACACATGATACCCAGCAAGGGTTTTCCATAATCAAAGGTAGGCAATATGCCTTAGGAGATGGCTCTTTACTCCTAGGGATGAACAAAACCACTGAGCACAGAACCAAGGGTCTTCTGTGCTTTTATAGGGGAAAGGATACTTTGTCATCTTGGCCTGTGTACATGAGGGTAGCTCAGTAGCGGGTTGAATGTGCAAGAGAGCCGCACTCTCAAGTAATGTAAACGGTATCCCTGTCAGTCTTAGGCAGATAGTGTGAGAGGGCCGTACCCTCTAGTAAAACTCAGTGAGTATGCCAGTGTCTGGATCCAGATATGAGAGTGACTCACACTCCAAACCCATAATTAGCCTCAATATGCACCTTGGGCTGAGGTTAGGGGAGGGCTGTGCCCTCTATTGGGAATTTTAGTGTCAGGCGCCGTATTTGAGGGGGGAGGGTTCCCTCTAATCCTGTAAATTAGCCTTCGTTCAAGCTGAGGTGTGAAAGGACCGCACCCTCTTATCACGCAAAAAAAGAGCCCATATCAGTCTCAGACTGATCCTAAGCAAGGAGCTCGCCCCTTTAAAACTATCGAGTCGGGCTGAGGTCCCGAGAGGGATTCCCCTCTGACCCTGAAATCATGCTCTGTATCATTCATCTGAGTGCTGCACTTAAACTGGGAATAAATAAATAAAGGTCAGAGAACAATCCAGTCTAAGGGCCGTGTCCAAGAGTTTACTACTGGGGACAGGTAGAGAAATTGTAATAGCTAGAATAAATATGGAATCTACCAATGACTGCCTGGATCCCGCTGCTAAGAGTCCAGGAATTACCGTGCATCTGTGTATGTGTTGAGTGCATCAGAGTGAAACTATCCTTGGAGATGTGCCGCTGCCGGCTGATGTAAGCCGTGGCTGTCCCTCCGGGGATCTTTGTATAAGCCTTGTCCCCCATGCTCCAGGTATAGGGTCTTCACCCTTCAAATCATATTTAGGTGCACATAGACCGGTGTCACTTTAGATAGTATGTTAGCAGCCCTACCTGGACACCCACCTGTCTCCGTGACAATAGTGGAAACTGAGACACCTCAGTAATATTCCCCCCAAGCCTGCGGCCGAAGGGGGATCGGGCACAGACTAACGTCGGCCTATCAAATGGGCACAGACAGAGAAGACCAATCAAATGGGCACAGACAGAGAAGACCAATCAAATGGGCACAGACAGCGCAGGCCAATCATAGGGGCACAGACAGCGCAGGCCAATCATAGGGGCACAGGCAGCGCAGGCCAATCATAGGGGCACAGGCAGCGCAGGCCAATCCAAGGGCATAGGCAGCGCAGGCCAATCCAAGGGCATAGGCAGCGCAGGCCAATCCAAGGGCACAGGCAGAGTAGGCAAAACAAGGGCGTTTATTATGACCGCCGTAAGGGCCAATGTGTTAGAGTAGGGCCTCCAGATGTGTTTAGAGGTCCCCAGGGTATATCAGTGTTAATTACCCCAACGTAAAAAGGTCTGCCAGGCATTGGCACCTATGGGAGTAACCCCAAACCAGGCAACTGGTAGACACTCAAGTCTATAGGCAGCCACAGACAAAACTCAACTGCAGGGAAATCCCCATGCAGCACAGACTCCAATGTATAGAGAAACACCCTTATAAATTGCCCTCTAAAGGGCACACTGAGAGGGTTTTAATGGGGCCAGCTAAGCTCCAAAAGCCTGAGGTAGGCTGGCAGGGCCCTTCCAGATCGCCATGAGGGAGGTGACATATCTGAAATATCCATCCACCTATAAAAAATTATACACATCATGTGTCACTTTAATTAAATGATATTCAGATGGCAAGGGTTTGTGACAACTCTGATGGCTTGAAAGCCCTCACTTTAATAGGTCAGTTCACAAAGTAAATAAATTGCAGGGCATTATGTGCAACTCCTATCACCTTA